TGAATCCCACTTGATCTCGGTGGATAATTCTTTTTATGTGCTGTTGGATTCGATTTGCAAGTATCTTCTTGAGGATTTTTGCATCTGTATTCATCAAGGATATTGGCCTGTAGTTCTCTTTTTTTGCTGGATCTCTGTCTGGTTTGGGAATCAGAGTGATGCTGGCTTCATACAAGGAGTCCAGAAGTTTTCCTTCGATTTCTATTTTTTGGAATGGCTTGAGAAGAATTGGTATTAATTCTGTTTTAAATGTCTGGTAGAATTCTCCAGGGAAGCCATCTGGCCCAGGGATCTTATTTGTTGGGAGATTTTTTGATAACTGATTCGATTTCTTCACTAGTTATGGGTCTGTTCAGATTTTCTATCTCTTCTCATGTGAATTTTGGTAGTGAGTGTGTGTGTAGGAATTTGTCCATTTCTTCTAAGTTGTCCAATTTGTTGGCATATAATTTTTCATAGTATTGCCTGATAATTGCTTGTATTTCTGAGGGGTTGGTTGTAATAAGTCCATTTTCATTCATGATTTTGTCTCTTTGAGTGCTCTCTCTTTTCTTTTTGAGAAGCCTGGCTAGAGGTTTGTCAATTTTGTTTATTTTTTCAAAAAACCAACTCTTGGTTTCATTGATCTGTTCAACAGTTTCTTTGGATTCTATATTGTTTATTTTTCCCTTATCTTTATTATTTCTCTTCTCCTACTGGGTTTAGGGTGCTCTTGTTGCTCTCCCCCTAGTTCCTTTAGGTGCTCTGTTAGATTTTGCGCTTGCGCTTTTTCTAATTTCTTTAAATCGGCCTGGAGTGCAATGTACTTTCCTCTTAGGACTGCCTTTGCCACATCTCATAGACTTTGGATTGTTGTATTTTCATTTTCATTTATTTCCATATATTTTTAAATTTCTTCTCTAATTCATTGGCCCATTTGTTCTTTAGTAGGGTTTTCTTTAACCTCCATGTTTTTGGGGGTTTTCCAGACTTCTTCCTGTGATTGATTTCAAGTTTCATAGCATTGTGATATGAAAGTGTGCATGATATGATCTCAATTCTTTTATATTTATTGAGGGCTGTTTTATGTCCCAGTATGTGATCTATCTTGGAGAATGTGCCATGCGCACTTGAGAAGAAAGTGAATTCCATGGATGGCCTAAGGATATCGAATTCTAAATATATCTGCCAAATCCATCTGGTCCAATATGTCATTCAAGTCCATTGTGTCTTTAGTGATTTTCTGTCTAGTTGATCTATCCATTGCTGTAAGTGGAGTATTAAAGTCCCCTGCTCTTAGCACATTCTTATCCATAAGAGTGTTTCTGTTTGTGATTGTTTTATGTATTTAAGTGCTCCCATATTTGGTGAGTGACATTTATAATTGTTAGCTCTTCCTGATGGATAGATCCTTTAATTATTATGTAATACCCTTCTTCATCCCTTGTTACTGTCTTTAAAGTCCAGTTTGTCTGATATAAGTATAGCTACTCCAGCTTTCTTTTGACTTCCAGTAGCATGACAGATATTTCTCCATCCCCTTACTTTCCATCTTAAGGTGTCCTCAGGTCTAAAATGAGTTCTTGTAGACAGCAAATAGATGGATTTTTTTTTTTTATCCATTCTGCTACCCCATGTCTTTTGATTGGGGCATTTAGTCCATTTACATTCAGTGTTATTACTGAAATATATGGGTTTAGAGTCATCCTGTCTTTTGTGGGGTTCATGCTTGTGGTAGGGTCTCTGGTATCTTGCGTTCCTTGCAACATTTCCCTTAGAGAGTCCTCCTCAGGATTTCTTGTAGGGCTGGTTTAGTGGTGATGAATTCTTTCAATTTTTGTTTATTTGGAAAGACTTTTATCTCTCCTTCTATTCTGAATGAGAGGCTTGCTGGATAGAGGATTCTTGGCTGCATATTTTTTCCGTTCATCACTTTGAAGATCTCCTACCATTCCTTTCTGGCCTGCCAAGTTTCAGTAGATAGGTCTGTCACCACTCTGATAGGTTTCCCTTTGTATGTTAGGGCCCTTTTCTCCCTAGCTGCTTTCAAAATTCTCTCTTTGTCCTTATATGTTGCCAGTTTCACTATGATATGTCGTGCAGAAAATCGATTCAAGTTATGTCTGAGGGGAGTTCTCTGTGCCTCTTGGATTTCAACGTTTGTTTCCTTCCCCAGATTGGGGAAGTTCTCTGCTATGATTTGTTCAAGGACTCCTTCAGTGCCTTTCCCTCTCTCTTCCTCTTCTGGAATTCCTATGATATGGATATTATTCCGTTTGATTGTATTGCCGAGCTCTCAAACTCTCCTTTCGTGTTCCTGTATCAGTTTATCTCTCTTTTTCTCAGCTTCCTCTTTTTTCTATAATTGTGTCTTCTAAATCACTTATTCTCCTTTCTGCCTCTTCAATCCGTGCATTGGATCCCTCCATTTTATTTTGCATCTCATTTATAGCATTTTTTAATTCATCACAACTATTTTTAAGCTTCATAGTCTTTGTAGAAATAGTTTCTCTGATGTCTTCCATGCCTTTTTCAAGCCCAGCGATTAATTTTATAACTATTGTTCTAAATTCTTGTTCAGTTATGTTGCTTATATCTGTTTTGAGCAGTACTTTAGCTGTCAATTCTTCCTGGAATTTCTTTGGAGGATAGTTCTTCCATTTCATCATTTTGGTTAGCTTTCTATCTCTTGTTAGTTTAAAAAAAA